TATGGCAGATTTAGGGCAGATCCCATTTCTTGACTGGCTCTGACTGATTGTTCGATCGCCGAAAAGTTACTGAGATTGCGGAATGACTGCGCCACCTTCCAATCTTTCTCGAAGTAGTTAAGCCTAATTTCGCGAATATGCGGATGGTTTTTTGAGTATATTCTTGTAGAGGAAATCAAGTAGATCATGACTAGAAAAAGCCCGAACTCAATAGTCAAACTCTTTCGGGAGAAAAAGAGCCGCGAAAAAATCCGCAATAATTATGCATCAACCTAATAATACGAACTGATTACTTCCAGGACAATGTCAATGTGCTCAACCTTACTTAGCCGTTGCTTCTAGCTGTGTTGCTGCTTATCCAAGGTAGGTTTTTTGTATGAGATTTATTACCATTATTCGATATGTTTCCATCAGGTTGATGACACCAGTCTTGACATCAGGCATGGCACTTCACTACCAGCAACCAAAGCAGGTACACAATGAACTTGTAAATTTCTTTTCGGAATGATGAACTTGTATGTTTCCTCTCTTCGCTTTCCTACGATTACGTACTGTGACCTTCGATTCTTTTTACTGGTGAGAACATCAAGGTTCCCGCTCTTTGGAACCCGCTCTTTGGAAGAGTGAAATTCATCACGACCGGAAAATCGTAAGCTCTACCGAAGCATTCCTCTCCAAAACGTCAGTCAAATGGGAGAAACTTCTTTCAAGTACTTGAATTAGTTCGGAACGCAAGTTCCAGAACTGTCAAGAACGGGCAAAAATATATAATATATAAATGTGTACATACTTTGCTGCAGCTACTTGCAATTGCAACCAAAACCAACTTTGAGATGTGGGTCACCAAGAGTTTGGAATTCGTTTTCAGGCATTTCGTGGTTTGTCTGATTTCAATTGAGTAAATCACACATTTGCCTAATAAGGCTGTTTTAGGCCCCTGTCGTATATCCTGGAAGAGTTCTGCAAGGTTTGTGTTCCTTACGAATCTGGGATTCAAGTTTTTTAATCAAGGGTTTGCAATGCAACCTTTTTCAGCAGCTCCAGTTCAATATCCAGCACAAATGTACCATCCAGCACAGGTTTGTAACAGCTCCCTTTTGAGAATGATGGGAGTGTGCCCAGAAGGGGCTGTAGGTGATACCTGACAGTTTTCCTGTTCGTATCTCGTTACATGGTAACCTTGCTTGGAGCTTTCATTATTCATTCAATTATATTTATAAAAATATATATGTATATAAATTACGTCTGCATGTCCACACGGCTAAGAGTAGGCCCCCCACGTGCTAGAGTCTGGCAAGTTACACGTGGATATTCATGCCAAAAACAGTAACAGAAATGGGCCTCATCCCCCTGAACCTGAGGGAGCCCCCAATACGGCGGCGTTGGGTAGGACCGC